TGAAAATGTATTTCGATCATATCAAATTTTACAGTGTCGATGCGAGAGGTTCGCTCGCAAATGCAATGTTTGCGAAGACGATTTTTTCGTCTTCACAAAATGCGAGCGTGGTTCTATTTCAAAAATATCTCAGATTCAACCGGAAGAAAATTTGTTTTGCGAGATATTTGGCAGTCATCCACTGGTTTAAAGATCTAATATAGTAATAGTATAACATGTGTAAGTTCAATAACTTCTATAATATATAAAACTTCAAGAAGTAGAATTGAAGTTCAATAACTTAACTTCAATAACTTCTCTGTAACGAATAGTATAAGTTGAAGTATTTAAGTAACTTCAATAACTTCTACAGTAACGAATAGTGTAAGTAGAAGTATATAAATAACTTACATACGCTCTGTAATCTCTAAAAATATCGTAACTTCTATTATTTCTACAATTACGAAGTACTACAAAACATTTCACAGTTAACATTTCAACATGAATACATTCCACTGATAAAGCGTTTATGACAACATTTTTGTCAGTCTGCTAAGCCGTCGAAATTCTCTCGGGTCTGTGCCTTTCGAAGGGGGAATAGGAGCAACAACTGGAGTCGATGGAATGCTGGATGTAGGTGTGGTTGCAACAGTGGCAATAAGTGGTGGAACAGGGATGTACGAGGGCAACGATACAGCTATCCACCATACACTTGAGGCGACCACACGAAGTCATTTTGAAAAGTGACTCGTGGTAAAATCCGTTGGTTTCCAACGGTCTTATCTGTGCAAGCATTTACGTATCCGGATGTTTATCCGGCGTTATTCAAATTCCCCGAGAACAGGTAGTTTTGGACCTGCAGCAGGGGGTCACCCCATGCTGCCGGGGAATTCCTCGCGCCTGCTCGAACAGGGGCGGTGTGTAATCTTCGGTTATTACTACGCTCAACGCTTCATACCTCGTGCTTCCACCGACAACCTTCGAAGTTCGGGCCTCGTCTTCGTTCGCAGCCCTCGTTGTCCTGATTCCACAGGGGAGGGACGGATAAGTCCTTGTGGAAATAATCCGGGGAAACCGGGGATCGAACCCACGACCTTTGAGTTAAGAAACCGATGCTCTACCACCTGAACTACCTCCCCCGCGGCAGTACGGCGTTGGCTCCGACTTCAAGATCCAACCGACGCACTTCGCATCAACGTGCTTGCGCAACTGGCAAAACTCAAGCGTCAGCGCCCGTACAACACGCTCTGGCTCAAGTATCCCAACTGCTTGATCCTCGAATTTTCAGCTCGCACTCCTTAGCGCTTCAAGCACCCTATTTATTCAAGACCCAAAACCACTGTGCTCCAATTCCAAGTAGGACGTACCTGCTCTGGCAATCGGATTCGGGATGAGCCCTCGGGCAATATTAGTATTGATAGCGATAGTAGTTATTAATATACCTCCCCTTTGACAGTGAGCTATAGAGGATCTACATGCCAACTTCACTGTCACACGCTTATATAGCAGTTCACTGCCATTCAACAATTCAACCATTCAACAATTC